CATCCCCCCGCGGGGTGATTTCTCACCTTCCCTCTCATTGTCTCTGTCTCTTTCTGGCAAGCGCATGGTAGAGAAACAAAATCAAAACAAAACAAAACCCTGTCCTTCTAGGGTTTTTTTCTTTTTTGAGAGAGAGATTTTTGCTGTAGGGTGTGTGTGCTCACCAGAGAGACAGAAAGTGAGAAATCACCCTCCAGGGAAGGTGGCCATGCTGCAATTCCTTCTCCTCCATTCTCCTCTCTGAATTTTGGGCATCATGCACATACATGCACCTAGCATGAGTTTTAAGCCACCAGGTTCAGGACTCGAACTGCAGTCGACTACATGGGAGTCCAGTGACATAACCATTATACCAACTGCTGGTCCCAACCCTGTCTTTTCTTATCTTCTTTCAGTGCGCTCTCTTTCTCTCTTACTTTCTCATTAAAAAACAAAACAAAACAAAACAAAACAAAACAAAAAAACATAAGGCCATCCCATGGCCTGGTGGTTAAGGCAGCATATGCACTTGCCAGAAAGCACGTGTGGTTTGGGTCCCAGATCCAGCAGCTTCAACAAGCACTCTGGGCTCCTGTGCATGCGAACCTGAAATTCCAGAAGCAGGGAGAGAGGGAGTAGAGCAGTTTGTGACCATTACTTATAGGGAGGTACTCTCAGCCCCCTCCCCTCTCCCCAGAGAGTGCATGTACCTTCTGGTAAAATTTAAATTATAGCTAGCTAGATAGATAGAGGTTATAGATAGAGATATAAAGATTTCAGAGAACCAGCTTTGACAACACTGATTTTCCCTACTGTGTATTTTCAACTTTGTTGACTTTCTTGCTCTTTATGTTTTCTTTCTCCCTCTTGCTTTGTGTTTCTTTTGCTCTTTTAAATTTTGAGAGGTTTTTGCTATAGGGCATATGCACTTGCCAGAAAGACAGAGAGAGACAAGAGTGACAGAAAGTGAAAAATCACCCCTATATATATTTAAAAGTGTATCTCTTTCCTCCATGAGTGAGAGAGACAGAGAGAGCCAGTACCCCTCCCTGGGACCTGTCGTTGTTCTCCACCAGCCTTCATCCAGGCCCTGCTCACGGGCAACCATGTGTCAGGCATTCTCAGGGAAGTCTCTGGACTTGAACCGGGAACCTTCCCACCTGGGATTGCCTCGCAGATTATTGTGTTTTACTGCTGTGCCATGTCCGGACACTGCATTTTTTATTTTTGTTTTGTTTTTGCCATACGGCACATGAGCTTTCTGGAGATGGACAGAGAGAGAAAGTAAAATGTCATCTCCCGGGGGATGGGCACACCACAATCCCTTCTCCTCCATTCTCCTCTAGAGATTTTGGGTACACACATACACGTGCCTGGCCTGATTTTCAAGTCATTGGGTCCAAGACTCGAACCAGTCGGCCATGTGGAAGTCCAGCTCTTAACCACCACACCACCTACTGGTCCCTGTTTCTGTTTTTAATTCATTAAAGAAAACACTTTCTACATTTCCTTGATCATTTCCTCTTTGGCCTATGAATTATTTAGAACTATTTTAATTTCCATGTGTTTGGAGATTTTCCAGTTATCTTTCTTTTTTCTTTCTTTCTTTTTTTTTTAAGAATTATTTTATTTAACTTTATTTATTTATTTTTATTTGACCAGAGAGGGACAGAGTGAGAGCAAGAGAGAGGGAAAGTGAGAAAGTAAGCTGTCAGGGACCAGCAGTTAGTGTAATGGCTATGTCGCTGGACTCCCATGTAGTCGACCGCGGTTCGCGTCCCGGACCCGGTGGCTTAAAACTCACGCTGGGCACGTGTGCATGCGTGCCCAAGATCCCGAGAGGAGAATGGAGGAGAAGGGATTGTGGCGTGGCCATCCCCCTGGGGGGTG